TATTTATATATATATATATATATATATATATTATTTATCTCATCACTTATCCAATATTATGTCATCCAATTTGCCAAACAACTTATATTATATTTGAACATTCAATTTTATGGTTATCTCATGTGTTTCTAAATTGACTATTATCATGTTTTCTTCCATTTTTTGTGTTGAATTCAAATTGAACAACTTTTCACCATTTCTCTTATTTGATTGTTGAAAAATTATCCTAAATATTATTTTAAAAATTATGTAACATTATAATAAGTTTAAATTTCTTAATATGGTCATTTATGGCATTCATGTCGATTTAAATTTCATTTTATATTAATGTACTATATCCAAATGGAAAATCAGATTATATTATTTTATTTACAATCATGTTAAATTGTGGAGAGAGAAAAACTTTTTTTTTTCAAGCTTACTTTCAATTCTTTGATTGTGTTTGGTTTTCTGTTTGAACACTCAAACAAATGTTCATTTATCATCAAACTTTGCACTTGTTTGTTTAGTAGTCTCCTTTCATGTTGAGTTGAATCTTGTTCTCGCCTAAATGTTTGTTACTGCCAAAAACAACACCATGCTAGCTTTTCTGTTGAACGAAAATCAATTGAAGACAATAATTGCAATATTTAAATTTCAACAACCTATAATAAACATCATTACCCGTTGTCAATCAACATTGAAGATGAAATAAATCTAGCATAATTGCTTGAATGTGGATTGTTCAAAGTTCTCCTACTCATGCATTCACGATCTATCCTGTACTTGTTTCAAATTCATCTGCATATGATCTCTTTCATTAATCTACATCTTTTCTCTTTCTAAGTTTTTGTTATTGTTGGTATCTCCATTTTTATTAGACTCGTCATTGTTACCGTCCCTTTTGACTTATTGATTTTATTCTTTTTTTATTTTTTATTTTTTATCATCAAAGGTGTACACTAATAAGTATCATTAACTTTGTGTGTGAGAGAGAGAAAAAGAGAGAAAAGATCTACTTACTCTATTAAACAACTTATATTCAATATCAAATTTTAATAATTCAATTGTTAAATTAAAAATTTTAATACGTAGATAAAGTCTACAAGTTAAAAATATTTGATATTTCATTTTATTGATTCAAAATAATAGATAATTATAACAACATTTTATAAGTTAATTTTAATTTATATAATAAAGTATCGTATTATTTTCAATTTCTTAAAAAAATTGTAGATTTAATCTATAGATTAAAAGTTTTTAATATAACAATTTTATCATTAAAAATTAATATAAAATATGAGTTATTAAGTGGAGTAAGTTTACCAAAACTTAGTCATGGAGTAAGTTGATCCCTCATACAACATACATACACATATACATACATACATACATACAAAGAGATCCTCTTACTCCAAGACTAAGTTTAGTTAGACTTACTTCGATCAATAACTCATATTCTAATTCAAATATTTTAACGATCCAACCATTGAATTTAAAATTCATAATACATAGATCAAGTCTATATATATATATA